GGTTGTTGTTTTTTAACTGAATAAGGAGAGAAAAGCACCAAGGGAGCGCTATGGTCTCAAATCAAAAAGAATATTTTATCCGGTCAGCCAGCGTGATTTAAAAAAGCAACGTATTAAGAATCCCAGAGGGGCCTTTGACCCAGAGTTGGGACACCTTCAAGTCCCAAACCTCCCAGAGCGAGTCTGGAAATGGCTTTAGCAAAAAGCTGCATACTCCAAATGAACTCAAAAGCAAGTAGTTTAAAAGTCCAAAAAGTGTCAGTAGCATTGCTTTGGATGCATAAAATCTTGTATTGTGCACATAAATAAATGCAAATAATTTCAACAGATCTTTCTGTTCATATTAGACTCAGCTGGAACTATGAAAAAATGTATTTTTTCATCAATATTTCATCAATTTATATACAACATATTTAAAAAGTTCTTCTTGGAGTGTGTTGAAGGACAGAAAAGGCTAACAGATAATTAGCTTTCCAGTAGATGAAAGCTCATTTAATTCTTCCTGGACTTAATTAAATCCAGTTACCTTCTGAATATATTGTTTTTTACAAATAGATAATTTAACCCCAGATGAGGGAAATGGTTAGAAACTCAGTCAAAGTGATTGAATCGAAACAAGCAAAGTCTTAAGCACTTAAGACTAAAAGTCTTAAGTGCCAAAAGGTTCAAATGAGTTTGAGTTGGTCTGAATTATCCGGATTGAGGGGAAACTCGTCTGGTAACTGTCACAATCCCCCGTCACAGACATGAGACCCCGTCAGTCACCTGATGACCACAGAGTCGGGTCAAAAGAGCACGGACTGACCACTAAGTGGACACTGAGTTTAGTCCTGTGTCACCGCCTTGTGAGGTGCTGGACTTTCTGGAAAGCAGGAGATTGACCCAGAGTGCACTGTTTACCCTCTGTTTAACACATTTAAACAAACCAAAGCTACGTTCAGATGGTATGAATGGTCATGGGTGTTTCGTAACCAGGTGAAACATTCATCTTTACAACCACGGACAGATTTTTACACACCTGAGAATACAGTTCATAAAACACCCTTTTTTCTTTCTAGCCGGTCTCCTTCTGCAAGTTTTCAGTCACCTGCCTGTACAAAAAAGCCCAACTTCAGAAAAAAGCTTAAAAAAAACTTCAATTAAATGTCATGAAAATGGAATATCTGCTCTCCTTTCTTCAAAAGACATCTCTTTAAAAACAGTTGGACCACTTTGAGGAATAAGTGAAGTTACACAGTGATGCTCATGAGCTTGTAGAGCAGATCCACGTCACCAGAAATAACCGGAAATAGAAAATTCAGATCTTCAGTCCTTGGCGTTGGAAACAAAATCCATGAGACTAAAACCTTCTTGTGTTAGTTCTTCATCACAAAGGCTAAGATAGGTCTAAAATAGTCAACCCAGTCTATAGATTTCTGCCCAGAGGCAAAATTATGGCTGTTTTAAAGCTGTTTGAGGGAAAAATAAAAGTTTAATTCGAGAGAAAAATCACATCTGACCACATTTAAAACATTAAAACATCCACTGCTTTGTGTAGCTTTTTTCAAACGTGTTTTTACTAGGTCTTTTATACTTGTTGAAATTTAGTTGTTAAAAGCTGAGTGCTTATCGTTTGGAAAGCCTCACAGTTTGCAGTAGAAGGGACTCTCCAGGGATGTGCCTGATTAAAATATCAATTTTCTTGCATGCTGGCATCAGAGTTCCTCACTCATAGACAAAAAAATACCGAGCAAGCCTACTGAACTCCTTTAAAATCTGTAGCTATGGTCAGAAAAGTATGCAGATTCAATCGTCAGAAGCTCATTTTTTTCCTGTTGCATCTGTGTCCGTTTTTCAGGCCGACTGGGCTGAATATCTCAGCAAAATCGTAATAAGATGCAGGAAGAAGACACAAGTGTTCAAGATTTTCAGTCATTTATCATCATTACGGGGATTTCCAAGAAAAAGACAAAAATAAACTTAACATAAACCAGCTCTTTCCGGATCTCTGACCTTTTTAAATATCTCATAAAGGCCCAGTCTTCATTTCAGCTGCTCAGCTGAAGAACCGACAAATGTCACCTGATTAAGTGCCAAAATTTGCTCCGATAAATCTACTTTTCCCATCAATTTTCACATAATTTCTCCACACATTGCATCGAAAGGCACTTCAGCCATTTCCTCCAGACGGCGCTTGTTCAAAAACAAGCTGAGAGGAAATTTGTGAAGAAAGAGACAAAAGGATGAGTGTAAAACATCCGAAACTCTTGCACCGGCCACTTATTGCTCATTACTGTGGCTGCTTTTCACCCCCTGCAACACCCAATATCTGGAACCTAGCTCCGAAGGAATCAGAGCTAAGGCTTTTACCAGCAAAAGACTGAACCAACACAAGCGCATGCAAGCGCGCACACGCACAAACGGACCTTTGAACGCCCCATGACAAGCCCCCGGCCGTCAGCCAATG